TCAAAATTGCGCTGCTTAGGACTTGGCTGCTTGTCCGAGATACCCATGGCTTCATGTCTCATGAGGGTGCTCTGCACAGTTTAAAAAATAAGTGGGGCACAGCATCCTGTCCCAAATACCTAGGTTTTCCATGTTAAAACAGTTTAGGAGGAAGAAAAGGGTGTGGCCACTGTTGGAGCACAGGAGCACTCTCAAGCTGCAAATTTAGGACAAAACACTTATTATTTAGCTACCAAAAGGAATGTGAAGCTGGATAAGTGCAGGGTTTTCTGAAAAACAGACCTTAAAGTTGTACTTTGGGGTGTTCATCCCACATTTATTCAGCCTGCATGGAGACAAAGATGGACCTCATGGAGTCCCACCTAAATTTCAAGGATAGGAGCCATGGAGGATTGTGGGTGGAGRATTTTATGGGTAAACCCCTGAACAGGCTAGAGGAAAGCTCTGCTTGGACCACCCACATCCCACTAGTAACTGTGTTTCTCTAGTGGTCAAACAAYAAGATGACTTTGCTGACCAGATGCTGTCCTTTTGAAGTGCAGTTTCAGCTGTGGATTTTGTCTTTGGGAAAGCAGAAGGACACATGTTTCAAATCACAGTCAGTTCTACAATAGAATGGAGGCATCATCTATCTGAGGATTTTATACAAGTCAAAAATAACTTAGGAATCTTTTGGCATGTGTAAAATACCTAATCCATGTACCACTTTCCCAAAAATGAGCAGAAATGAATGTCCAGCTACACGTTCATGTAAATCTGCCAGTGCTTTCAATGCATCCTGTGGCCTTTTCCATTTCAGAGWTTTTCAATCTTAGAAGTCTCTCTTTGAACCCATTTTTTTTTTAAATTTTGTTAAAGGAAACTTAGATACAAACATCTGAGTATTTTCAAGTATAATTTTGTAGATACCAGTATCTCGATTTTTCAAGTTTAGCTTGGTGTTTTATTTCTGTTCTTATTGAAGTATCCAAAATAGCCATGATACAAGAGCCTGTGTCATGCACAAGGAAGAAAATAAAGAAAAAGAAAATAAAAGACAATTACAAGTCCAATTAAGGAGATTCTTACAAATGGCAGATAYTTGGTTTTGTGCTTTTATTGTCACTCTCATTTTAGTTATATTACATTGTCCATCTTATATTACATTGTAAATCTCGTTATTCTAAGCTTTGTTCTAATTTATGCTGGTGGCATTGGTTTCAGAAAGATCTAAAACTTCTTCTGAAGCACCTTTGTGGCTGAAATAAAATGTAACTTGTCTTCTCATATAATCTAGAATTGAGTTTGCTGGAAAGAGAGCTTTATCATCTGCAGCTCAGTCAGGCATTGCTTGCTCTGAAACAAGTGCAACCGTGGAYGAAGTTCCAGATTCCCATGAGATTTCTACACAAGGATGCAGTGGATTTTAGCCTTGATTCTGCAAATCTTAGCTCAGCAGCCTGCAGAAGTGCCATTGCAGTYGACACTCTGGCTGGCTTGAGAAGATCCCTGTGGGCTTTGCACAAACTCTTTTGCTTTGATGATTTTTTTTTTAATGTTGCTGTGAATTGCGGTACACTGCTATTTTCCATTCTTTCACAGCAACYTGTGGGAAAATTTTATCTGTCCTTTCTCAACGTATGTCAGAGACAGAAACAAGTCATTAAGGGACTAGCAGAACTTGGCTGGGTCTAGCCCCTGCCTGCACTTCAGAGCAGGTGGCTTAGCTGCTGAAGTTTGCAGCAGGCAAGCTGCACAAGCAGGTTTGTAATGCAAGCCCTGCAGCCAACCATCAATTTGCCACATCACTTGCAAAAGTTTAGCTGTTGTTGTTTTCACAGGAAAAAGGAACAAGGAGAGCATCAGCCAAGGGGCTACAGCATTGCAATACATTTCTGTTTTTCTGMAAATGTCACTCTGATGACATCCTGTAATCTCAGTGACACAAATCCTTCTCAGTTAGGGAAGAACATTAACAAACAGCTTAGTTGTGTGGTCAGAAATGCCCTTAATAACATAAAAATTGATGAAACAAAAACATTGAACATGCACAAACATTTCCAGATGGGTCACATACATTGTAAGCACCCAGAAAATTTAGTGGCTTTACCTGTGAAAAGACACTTCTTTTTGCTAAGGTGCACTATGGATCCTAGTAAATGCACTAAGGCCCATGAAACTATCAGCCACAATCCACTCTTTTTACAAAACCATCCATGGCTGAAGCCACATGGATTTCCATATGTACARGTTTGTTTTGCAGCAAGGTTGTCACTTCAGCTTTTGGTTTCTGTATTTCTCCTATRAAGAGAGACACATGAGGCTTAAGACAACAAGCAAGGCAAAGGTACTAACTTTGCTTCCCAGGCAGCAAAAGGGAGCCTGCTGAGAGTGCTTCAGGGGAGCATGATCCTAATGTTGCTGGGGATAGACAAGGTAAATGCTCTTGCTTGACAGTCTGATTTGTCAGCATCCAAAATACCTTGTTCCTCTTTCTCTACAGTTAAAAAAAAACCCCAAATAGTCAAATGCATGCCAAACTTCTTTTGTATCTCCCTAAAATATTAATTAAAATGTACTGTGGCCAAGAGTCACATTTCCTGYACTTTTATTTGCCTTAGAAATCATAATTGTGTACACAGCAGTAGATGGCAATCATGCTTTCCAGGGGCAGTGATGAGTTGTTAGCCAAGCATTTGTCAATAATAGTCGAGGGAAATCTGAGGGGAAAGGTTATAACCGATGCAGGAAGACTGAAGGGGAAAAGAGAAAAGTTTATAGTTTTTTACATTAGAAATATGAGTTTAAAATGCAGCAGAGATACAAAATAAACACAAATCCCTTCCAGTTTTTCTGTCTAGGTTTATGTTTTAGTAATGGATGAGTGAGCTGGACTAAATCTGCAGAATGGGGCAAAACCACCAAATATTCAGGGAAGGATAAATCAGAAGGGCATATTTGCAGCCCATGTGGTATTAGAAAGAGTTGCCATGAGTGGCAACCTTGGGAAGGAGATGGGGAAAAAATGTAAAGGAGTATAGCACATCTTTTCTGTATRTTAATGCACATATTAAAATACTGTTAAATAGTAAGACTTAGCCTAGTGTTGGCTAAAATTCAAGGAAAACTGAGGATGGGCATTAGTGACAGCCTTGACATCTRAGACTCTGCTCCTGAAAACACAGACAGGCTAGACAAATTCACCTCTGAGCACATAGGAGATGCCTGGGTAGCCTCAGTTTCTGAACTTCCATCATTCAAACTGTCTTTGTCAATTAGACACTATTAGTAATCCTTGGAGTTTCTGTCATTTTTTGACAGAAACATCTTTAAAGTATTGGCAAGTTTCACCTCTGATATTTCTGTCGGGTGAGTGTTACTGTGTATGACTTGACATCATATTAAAGAACATTAAAGAAAAAGTAGAAGTATTTAATTAGTTAATCAGCACAGTGGTTTCAAAACTCAGAACTCCTCTTTATCTTCTTGTAGGTGCAATGCTGTAACTTTGCTCCCCCCCTCCACCATTTTATGAAGTGCATAAACATATATTCTAAGCAACCAGTTCAAATTTTTGATTAAATGTATCAGTCAAGYGGCTTCAATCTATCAACAAGCTGGTCATTAAATGAATCACTGACCCATTTCTCAGCAACTCAAGCTAAATAACCTATAATGACCTATAAAAGCATCAGTGTGTTAAGAAAAATTATTAGCTTGAGAAACAGAGCAGCAATTGATCACTTCCCACCAATCTGAACATAAAGATTCACCAGTTTCAACAAATTTTAGAATTCAAAAAATTCTGACCAGAAATCAGATTTTGACAGAGGCTGATGTCTAGGGGAAGTACTATGAAGCTCCTACACCATTCAACCCTCCTTCCTTAGTTTATTACCGGGAAATTTTGTGCAAGTATTTAAAATGGCTCAAACCTGGGATGCTCCAGAGTAAAATCCGGAGTTCAGACTCTCCTCAACTCAGAGACATGGATTTTAGACCCAGCATTTATTTCTACTGTGGAACAAACCCAATCTATGGTCCAACCACTCTCCCTGCTTGGATACATGTATGGTGTGGTTTAGATCCAGATCCAAATCCTGGGCCCCGACTGTGTCCGTCCTGTACAGCAAGAAGATTGAAAATGTTTGGTTTAATTTTTAAATCCTCCATTGCTCTTACCCARCAACAGGCAATGTGTGCAAGCCTCTGGCCAGCCCTTGTGTGTTTCTGAGTGTGTAGACAGTGACTGTGTGGTGGGAACAGAGAACAAAGCAGCATTTGGGGGGGCAACAGCCAAGATCTTCACACTCAGACAGAGATTACCAAAGGGGAGCGAAAATCAAGAGGAGTTAGGAAAGGAGGCAGGATTACCTGCCCCTTGCCACCTCCATCAACCATGGCACTGTGGACCCCCATGCCAGGCCCTGCATCCTGGTGGGGATTGAAACCTTSTGTCCCCTGTCTATCTATAGCCATCCTCACACTGGTGTCTAAGCACTTTCTAGCTAAGCCACCTGCTCATAACAGAAAGTGATGTGGTTTTATGCTTTTTCCTCTTCCTCAGCACAACCAGCCCAGAATACTCAGTTATAGGTTCTAAGAGAGCCAGCCTTTCATCCCGTTTGCTGAAGACAGCCCACTTGGGGGTTGCATTGTGGGACTGTGATTGCATGCAGACTCCCACCCCTAAGGGGGGAGAATTACAGSTTGAAAACAAGGCATGAGGGGAGGCAATATTGAGATTTTCTTGCTCAACCACCCTGAAAAGTGGCATAAAACCTTCCTGCTGACATACACACGTGAAATTTTGTGCCTGATTTGTAGTCATACGATGTCTGTGGCAGTGTGTAGGTGAAGATAGAAGGCAGTTAAGTSAGGAGTGAAAGGAGAGGAAGAGAGCAGGAGCTCTCTCACCTACAGCAAAAAGGTGCTTCAGCCAAGTGCGTGCCTGAAGAGCAACTTCTGGGGTTTTTTTTTTCTTCTTTCTTTTGCAATCATTGCTCGTTTGACAGGCCCAGACGGAATTACATCACTTCCTAAAACCCATCAAAGAGAGTCCATCTCCTGAAGAAATGCAGCTGAGATGCACCCCGGCAGGAAGCAGGAAATGTAGCTGTTCGGGTGCAGCAGGGAGGCAGCCGGAGCGCCCCTGGGCCGGGAGCGCTGCGGGCGCAGCATGCGGAGCGCTGGGCTCCTCACCCTGCTCTCTGCGCTGTCGCTGGCTGGACGAGCTGCCGGCAATGGTGAGTGACAAAGCGCCTTTCGCCTGCCCAGGTGGGACCGCGTTTCTTGCCTGCAGCAATGGGACCAAGTTGGAGGGCAACACCCTCCAAACTGAGCGCTGGGAGATCTGTGGGGACTTGCTCTCGGCTGATTTTTGCTATGTTTACCCTCTGTGTTTTCAATTGCCTGTCTTTTTCAAAGATTTGACTTTTTTTTTCCTTAGACCTACCCCCAAACAGCAGCAAACGAATCCTAAAATTCCTACATTTCTTGAATTGCAGGTGTGTGGAGAACCGGAGTTTCCATATTGACCCAACAGGCATTTAGCTTCTAATTTTAGTTATCTGTTGAACTTTTTAAATCCCACACCCATACCATCAGTGTTTAACAGCAAAGTTAAAGGCAGAGCACTGCTTCCATTCAAAAGGTGACTGTCGATTTCCGCAGTCACGGAGCACTGAAACTGSTTTAACAAAGGAACAGCCGGTTCCGGAGACAAATATTTTGAATTCTCAGCTGCAGAACAAAGTGGCCGGGACGGCACCATGGACTTAGGTCCTGACCCTCTGAGGGGAAGTACCATGAGCGAAAAAGCTTCTTGTGACAAAATGCTGGTGCGCTGGGGTGCCGTTGTGAGGCTATTGCCTATTTGCAGCAGTCATTGGTTCCTCTGGCATTTTGGCAGCCAGCGGCTGAACGTGATAGGCAGCTCTTGTGGTGAAACCTTGCCACGGTGGTGCTTATAAGTCTTTTGGTGTCAAGGAAATCCCTGCTAAAGTGCCTCGATGTGGACGAGAAGTGCTTGCTGCCTCTGTGCTAATGTAACATGCAGAAGCTCTATGGAAAGCAGGGAAAGAGGATGGTTGAGCTCAGATATCCCTGGAATTCTTTTTATGTCCCAAAATGCACTGCTGGAATTGGTGGTTTGGTGTGGGCAATTTTTCCCGAAGTGGAGAGCTGGGCTGCGGGCTCCTGGCATGCTGGTGAGCTGCTTSCATTTAGGAGACTTGCTTGGCTGTGAGAGTGAGCTAAGTGAGGTATAAAATGGTTTGGGTTTGGCTGTGTTAYTGCAGCCCTGCTGCACTGCAGTCACTTTAGGAAAATATGCTGCAWGCCTTGAAAGTAGCTCAGAATCAAAACGTCAGAGGAACACAAATCCCACCACGGACAGAGCAAAACAGAGCTCCCAGGGGAACAGGAGCACACTGAAAGCAATGAAAGCAGTGCAGAGTGATCAGGCTCCTGCTTCCCCAGCTCGTGTGCAGGGCACTGAGAGCTACTATTTCATCACCACCTCCCTGGGGTGGGGAAAGCCTTAATCCCCCCAGAYCCCTCAGCCCCTGACTGGGTGCCCCTTGCCCCTTCTCTGCAATGGGTTTTAGAGGCTGCAGGAAGCACCAAGCAGATGCCACATACCCAACCCACTCCCCACTGCCTTCAGAGACTTGCTACCAGCAGATCAGCCTGTAAATTTTGGTTGATTTTGGAATGGTTCCTCTTTGGGAGTGAGTCAGTCCTGCCAGAGCYCTCCCCACGTCCTGTGAGCTCTGACTCTACGGAGCCAATCCACAGCAGTAGGGGAAGGGGAGGAGAGCATCCACCTTTGCTCCCCATATAAAGGCAGCTTTTGCTTATGAAACCAGCCCCAAAATGTACCTGKGGGCGTACTCTGACTGCAGGGGTGGGACGGAAATTTTGAACTTGAGCCTTGGAGGGAAATTAAACTGGTGGGGGGAAAGTTTATGTAGGGCTTATGTACCCTACTGGATGGGTCAGGAACCCCTCTGCTGAGAGCAGCCTCCCGGGGARATCCTTTGCTCTCACCCTTCCTCGCTCACAGATCAACAGGGCAGGACCTTTGAAGGAGCTTTTTTACCTTTTGCCAGACACAGTCTTCACCTTTTAAGTGGTCTGCTGTCTAGAGACCATTTACAAAATAGGCAAACAGAGTATGATTAAATCTTGCAACACAGACAGATTAAAGTCTTTATARGTCCTGTTCCCATACCATGCCAGAGCCTCGTAAAGCCTAGTCTTGCCATTTGGATTATGATGTGTGGATGGTTTTCTCCCTGCTAGGCTACAATCCCTCTAATCCAGTAGCACTAAGAGCATTCCTGAGGTCCCAGTTCTGGGTGCTGGCTTTCTCCCAGCTCCATACTGAGGGGACTTTGGCATTTGTACCAGTTCCCTTCCCCTTGCTTTAGTGCAGTCAGGAAGCCCTACAGTTAACAGTGTAGGGCATCACSTCTGCTGTAGGGGATGGTACTCACTGTTCAGCCTTGCAGCAGCCCTGAAGACCTACCTAGGCATGTGAGCTGACCCTAGGAACAAGCATTAAGACCCTTGCTAGGCTCTGACCCTAGAATCATTTCCCAGGCTATGTCATCTCCCACTGCGTTCGATGAAATGCGTGGGAAATTGCAGTGTAAGTGGTCTGACATGGGGAGCATGTGAGGAAGAGGAACAGTAAAACATGTAAGATCACCAAGAGGAAGAACTGGGGTAGTTGAAGGTAGTGCTTTATTTTGCCTGTGTCTCTGTGCTATTTTCTGAATTGTCATTCAAAGAAACACTGCTATCAAAGATCCAGATATTCAGCAGCTTGTACCATGAACACTGGCAGCAACTCGCACCTTTTGCATTGCCTCTCCTACAAGGCCAAGATCTCTAAGGGAGCAATAGTTTTGACCTGTTCCACCCTAGAACGAAGAACTGAGAATGGGCTTGAACCCCTTACAGTCACCTGTTAATATTTTCTAACAAAGCAACAATGTAAGAAATGAGGATTTGCTACATATTYTCTTTCCAAAGTACAGTACCCTAAAAAGCAGATGAAAAACCCTTTCTACTGAACACATAAATTTCTCCTACATATTTACTACAATTCCTCTCTTTTATCCACACAAATATGCACTGTGTTTTGTTCAAGTGCTTCAGAGGCATTTCAGAAAATCTCTTATTTAAATCAGCAAGRTTGAATACTAATTTTCAGTCAGTGACACCAATCTCTTTTCCCTCAAGAGATTTTATGATAGCTGGAAAGCCTCCGGAGCTTTTGAATCTTTAATTTCAGGGTCCTCCTGAGAGCAAGAAGCACTGAGAGATTTGCATCACAGTGAGGTCGCACGGGTATCACAGATGCARAGCTAGAAGGCCATCAGATTGAGTAGGAGCAACTAAATGCATAAATTGGCCTGGAGAGCCTTTACTACTGGGAGTGAGAAATTASACTACAGATTCACAGTTTGAGATGTGTGACTGAATTTGCAACACTGGCTGTTAATGCAGCACTTCAGCTGGATGGAAATACAGCGAGGAAAAGCAGTTTCCATCTTGTATAAATGAGCTTAACCAGTTGTTTCCTCTTTCGGGTTATACATAGATAACGCTTTCTAAGCACCTCGTTTTAATAGGATCTTGTCTACAGATTAGCCATCCTGAAATGCCTGTGCTCCCTCATCAGAAGAGCCTATGCTCTCAACAGCTAGCCTGCAGGCTTTTAAGGATTCCTCTTGCAGCCAGACTGACAGGACAGACCTGCCACAACAGGCGCCGGGCAAGCCCCGGCCACGGCAAGGAGCAGCCCTTCTTGCAGCAGCCTGAAATGCGGGGAGAGGAACGGCACAGGGATGAGCCAAGCCATAAGAGAGAGGAGCACACAGACCATGTGGAGCAGTATAACTACACCACCAAAGGAATGTGTCTGTGGAGCTGAATGATGTAGGATGTGGTAGCTTTATTCCAGCTTTATAGCCATTTCTTGTTCTGTCACCTCCTGAGCCTTCCTTTCACTGCATTTTTATAGCTTATGGGAAAGTTTGGAGAAACAAAATTTTTCCCTTCCAGCTAGTAAGCCTGGCTATCCCACTGACATAGCTCTTGCTTTTTCTCTACCTCATTCCTTTTTCTCCTCTAAGTAGGCACTATAGTGTAATTTGAAAAATTCCTTTGAGAGACCTCAGTCCTTGAGTCTGATGCCAAGGCAGCAGAGAGACTGATGGTTTTACAACAGAACTGAATGTGCTGACTGCCAGCTATTTTCCTTTGCTATTTTCCCTTGCCTTGCATCCAAGTAAATTCAGAAACCTGTTTGCCTGCTTACTTCATCAGGAAGCCCATATCACCACCTCTGAGTGCTGCAGCACAAACTTCAGAGGAAGAAATGCTGCAACAACAGAAATGTTGTTTGCTTGATTGAGATGCAGTTTTTTGGACTCCTATCTGTAAAACCGCTTGGTATGCTCAASTCTGTCTCCTGTGAAAAGCAGGTTTGGGAGCACCTCCAAAACTCAAGCAAAGTCCATCAGTGACCCAAGCATAGTTTTAGAGTAGAAAATACTGAGTAATACCTTATGCCATGGTATCTGCATACAGASACATAGCTTCTTCATAATTTGTACGAGCTCTTAATTGAACCTTTTCTGAGATGTTGCTAGTGCTTGCTCAGGCATTTTGGTCCCTTGTATACTMGATCCTCTAATACCTCAGTTGTGGAAACCTGAGAATTTCCTGACTTCCAGCTCCAGCTACTTAGCTTCCAGTTCCAGCTGTGCCCACCTTCCCAGCCTCTCTCCCTTCCGCTCTTGAAAGCATGGTAAGAGGTAATAGAGGCTGGGCTGAAGCTGTGGTGTCTTCCCATCCACTTCTCATGGGAAGAAGTCAGCAGCATTCATGTCCCAGGTGATCCAGACAAAGATGAAGCCAATGTGGTTGCTTTGTGAGCATTTGCTCCTTGGACAAGATGTGTAGAGGGGTGAGTATGRATGTTGGACCATAGCCAACAACATGACGCTGAATTCAACAAGAGAAAGGGCACAGGCCTTGCAGAATCAAAGAGGTTTCTGTATGGTCAGATGTGACTTGCTCTTTGTTTCACTCCACTGGCCTTGCTTTTCCGCCCTGGATGTCTTGCTTTAATGCAGTCAGATCCCCATATGCAGGGAGAACTCTGCAAGGTGAAACCCCAGCACAGCTGACAGGACAGTTCATGGTATGAATTAGCACTGCAAATCTGGCATGGAAAAAATGTCTGAACAGCACCTCACAAAATCKCCAATTTTCAGATGCTCTTTTGCTCTGCTTCATGCCTCATAATGCCCAGCTTTCAGTCACCCGACAAAACAGGCACTGGGGCCAGCTGCAATGCAGCCCACTTGCTATTTTGACTGCTTTAAATTGAAACACTGTGAAAAATAGCAGAAGTCTTGAGGTCAACCATGTGGCTGTGGCAAGCACTAGAGCTGCACCTGGAGGTCTGAGCCCGATTCTCCCTGCCGGACTGGAGGTACAAATCCTGCCCTGGTGCAAGCCACTGGGCCAGCACAGTGCAGGCTGTGCTCTCCCACTGTGTAAAAAGGGTGATTTTGGGTGGTCTGAGAGTGAGAGCAACTGCTGGGTGACAGGTGAGGCATCCCTTGRGGCCAAGCTCTGCTCCTCAGAGGTGATGGGGGAGGGAGATGTGTTGAGGCAGCAGGTAAAACGCAGGAAATAAGAGCAATATCCGTGCAAGAATATTGTGCAATTGGCTGCCCTTCTGCTGAAAGATGTATTTAATTCACTCAGAGAAAATATCTCTGTAAGAGGAAATGGTGTTCCCAGAGAGATGCTGCTTTGTCCCTGGAATTATGCGAAGTGAACAAAGATACATGGCAGCAAGGTCACTCCCTGTGATTGGCTATTTTCTTTGCCTAGAGACTAGAAAAGGTAATTCTGTTTCACACAGAGACAAATTATTTGAAGTCTGCTTCATAGTTCAGAACCAGGCAAAGTAGCAGAGATACTGGAAAAGTCTCTCTCGGAAATCAAGCATAGCATACTCTGCAGCTGAAAGTTTATCACTGCAGTTAATGAGGTGTGACTGTTTGCTTTGCTTTAAAGTCACACCATGCTTTAGACATTTGAAAAATCCATTTTRGCTCTCCGAGTAAATGAAAAATAAGCTATTTTCTCCACACCCTTTCCCTATTTTAAGCAACAGGCTTGTCCCTCTCAATATATCAAATGTGGCAGGCAGTGAGTGCCCAGGGCGATGGCTAGCAGAGGAAAATGAAGCAAGGTCACTGAAGAGGTTCAGTGAGGCTGTGGTGGGCCATCAGCTCTGCCTGTGGCACAGTCCATCAGCTCTGGCACAGTCCATCAGCTCTGGCACAGTCCATCAGCTCTGCCTGTGGCACAGTCCGTCAGCTCTGGCACAGTCCATCAGCTCTGCCTGTGGCACAGTCCGTCAGCTCTGCCTATGGCACAGTCCATCAGCTCTGGCACAGTCCCTCAGCTCTGCCTATGGCACAGTCCATCAGCTCTGCCTATGGCACTGTCCATCAGCTCTGGCACAGTCCATCAGCTCTGCCTATGGCACAGTCCATCAGCTCTGCCTATGGCACAGTCCATCAGCTCTGGCACAGTCCATCAGCTCTGCCTATGGCACTGTCCATCAGCTCTGCCTATGGCACTGTCCATCAGCTCTGGCACAGTCCATCGGCTCTGTCTGTGGCACAGTCCATCAGCTCTGCCTGTGGCACAGTCCATCAGCTCTGCTCTGCCTGTGGCACAGTCCATCAGCTCTGCTCTGCCTGTGGCACAGTCCATCAGCTCTGGCACAGTCCATCCCTCTGCCTATGGCACAGTCCATCGGCTCTGCCTGTGGCACAGTCCATCAGCTCTGCCTGTGGCACAGTCCATCGGCTTTGCTCTGCCTGTGGCACAGTCCATCAGCTCTGCCTGTGGCACTGTCCATCAGCTCTGCCTGTGGCACTGTCCATCAGCTCTGCCTGTGGCACTGTCCATCGGCTCTGCCTGTGGCACTGTCCATCGGCTCTGCCTGTGGCACAGTCCATCAGCTCTGCCTGTGGCACAGTCCATCAGCTCTGCCTGTGGCACAGTCCATCAGCTCTGGCACAGTCCATCGGCTCTGCCTGTGGCACAGTCCATCAGCTCTGCCTGTGGCACTGTCCATCAGCTCTGGCACAGTCCATCAGCTCTGGCACAGTCCATCATGCCACCGTCTGCAGCACAGACATCTCTAGTGCTGCCTCACTGCTCTGCACAGCGATTGAAACGGAGTGGCTGCAGGCACCGGGAACTACAAACTGCCTCGGAAAAGAAAAGTCAAATGACCAAACTAATAAGGGAGGGACGCTCTCCCTCCTGTCCTTTGTGATCAGACTGAGGACAGCCAGCAGATCACRGGAAGGGCTGGAGCAGCACATGCCTAAGGGGTCATTACCTGCAAGGGAGGCAGCGATAGTATTTTGCTCTTGACTGAAATACTMAGTACAGAAGAGACAGAGAGACTATTGATACAAAGTGCTTTGCCACAGAAGAGCTATCGTTTTCATTGTCCTGTTGTGGTGAAGGAGTCTGGTGACCTTCACCGTATTACATTAAGTATTCAAAKTGTTTCCTAGTTGGTAGAAAAGGATGAAACAATCAGATGCCTCCGTGATATGTGCAGCATTRTGACAAAACACTGCTGTCACACTCAAATAATTTTATTCATTTGAAATTGGGTTTCCTTGAATACAGTCTCATGAAATACTCATCTCCTCTTTGAGACAAATCTGCTGGGAGAGGAGATGCTGCAGAGTGGATTAAGCAAGAGATAGCGCTCTAATCCCAGTTTTTCTCTCTCACTTGGCATCCCTGGGAAGGACAGCATCCTCGTCCTTCTGAATTCTCATTTGTAAAATGGAGATGATAACTGCTCATCTCTCAGGGCCATTATGAAGATTAATGTGTTTACAAAGGCATTTAAAATGCTAAGTACTTTTGGTTCCAGTCCTGTGAGATTGCAAATGCCAGCAGTGAGGTGCTGAAAACCTTAAACTCTTGCTAACTCTAGTGGAAACTCTGGCTGCCCAGCACTTTACAAGAAYGAGGAGAAAAATGTAATTGCGAAAGTCATGAAATCCCACCCTGCTTTATTTCATAAAATGAGACATGTACCATGCCAGTGTTCTATCTGAAAGGGCAGATAATACAAAAATCCCATAATTTAATTTCATGCTAAGAAAATTATTGAAGGCTTTGCTGTTGTAATTTGTCTGATGACTGATTCTTGCAGCTTTGGCTACAACAGGATTTTTGGCATCAGTATAGAATACAGTATCAGCCCAGAAATTGCTGTATTTGTTTTAAGCTTTTAAACCCTGTGACAGTCAATAGACTCTTATTCAGACACACAAAAAGCACCTTGTTTCACTATTACCAACACAGCCAATTTTAGCCACTTTTCTTACAAAATACATGATAAATGAATCCAAGACTGAGATCAAAGTTCAAAACCCCCAGTCCTAGCACTTATCAGGAATACCCAGCACTGATGCTTTGCCACACACTCCTTCAGCCAGCCTGTAGGATCAGACAGAGGAACAGCTAATTGGACCTGTATGCAGTAATGTTCCTGTGTTACTACCATCGCTTCTAGTCCATGCAGAAGTGAAAGTCACCAGCTTTCGTGTCCTTCAGACTTCCTTTCACCAATTCTGTTGTTCACAATGAGACAAATTTAACAAATTTGAGAAAGGCACAGGAACAGGGAGATGAGTGAACCAAAGAAATCGGTGAACCAGGGATAATRGTCTCCCTGAAGGCAGTACCTAGCTCCTTAGATAAGGGGAGGGATATATGTGCCAAGGCTGAGAYGCAAAACAGGCTGGTGTGGTTTACTGAGAAGCAGAGTAATTTCATATGTGAGCAAGACAGGATGGCAATCTGCAGGAAAAGAAGTCTGTGCAAGGCAGCTGTGTGCAGATAGATGACACAGGCTGACAAATCCCAGYAAAAGTCAGCTGAAGAACATGGTCATGACTGGTAAGATTTGGTGACAAATTTGTGATTTAATTTTATATCTGATGCCTAAGACTACAAATCTGTGTGTGTGGGGCATCTGCTGGTGKTTTTTTTTAATACCTCAAATGGGAAGCAAATACTAAAGCTGTACACTGTGACTCACTGATAATAATAATGAAACCCATGTGAGTTGTCCTCATGTATTTGACAGGCCCTGAAAATGATGGATCGGGAGATGGATCGATGATATTACCCACTTTCAYAACAACACATCTTCCTGCTACGAGTCCTTCAGCCGTGGATGACCATGAGCCAGTACTTGTAACTGCAGGCCCTACTGAAAGCAGCTTTGAAACACAGAGTTCTCCAAGTACTGAACTGAATGCTGTGAACAATGAGGACAGCCTAGAAGCACCAGAACAGTCTATCTTGATATATGTTGTCCCTGTGGCTCTGCTGGTCCTACTGATTTTGTTAACAGCATTTTTTGTAATGCATCGTAAAAGGAAAAAGTCTAAGCAAGGTAAATTTGTCTTTTTGTGCATCAAAGGACTATTTTTAGGACATGTTTAGGACATTAACAGAACATTATTTTGAGGCATGGGATGCCACATTTAGGATGCCCTTTCTGGTTGTGGTTGCGTGTTTGGCAAGTAAGAGAGGATCCTCCCCAGCTGGCAGTACGTGGCCACACACCTCTCTTTGGGCAGGAGCTACTTCTGCTTCTTGGCACCTCCTGCTYGTGCTGCCCCACCCATGGGAGCCCTGGCACAAATCTCTGGCTCCTGGAAATGCTGAGAATGCTCAGAGATGGTTGCAAATGCTTGCTCTGTCTTTATGCTTAGCAACTTAATGCAAGGTGAAATTAAAGATTCTATTGCCCATAGTGCCCACAAGGTAAAGCTGCTTGGAGATACACTGAAATAGGAACCATTTTAAGGAACAATTTTAAGGGAACCTGATTCCATAGGGTGGTGGCTGCTCTGAAGATATCACAGTGAGTGAGCTAGGTCAGACTGCCTGGGTGCTGCAGTAGGGTGAGCAATGCTTCAGGAAGGTGCCGTGATCTGTTAACAAAGGAATTGGTAAYTTGGAGTGTCAAGCCACAGAAAGCAAACGGAGGTGTCATATTAAAACCACATAGTTGGTAAGTGAAATCCTGAAATGGTCCTATCAGTGTCTYTCTGTGGYCAGAGCASAGCTCTAAATTCATCAGCCTGCAGWCAGTGCAACACCTTCAACACAGATTTTAGGTCAAGTCTTCAGGGCATTTTTAGACTGTATTTCACTGATCACTGGGTCACCCTCTAAAATTCACAGCCAGGCATCCAGTTACCTATCTGTTTCTGGGTGATTGAAATGCAGGTACGCTCTTCAGAGGGTTAGGAAATGTGGTGCCTTTCAGGAAGACAGTCCTGGGATCTCATGCCCTGTGCCAGCCTTTTGGAGCTGGGATTTTGGGCATCCTCAAGGCTGGGGCAGATGGCTCTGTGGGTCTGGGGTGGCTCAGCAGTCTGGGAATGTGCTGGATCAACTGGAAGGTATCATCCACTGGCAACAATGAATTAAAAATARACTGATTTAAGACAGGTTTTTCAGTCACTTGATTCCTGGAGGTGAAGATATTTATCAGAATAATGTCTGACTTATGTGACACAATTTTTTTTCCCCACCTTTACTTTGTCTTGGAGTCATAAGTAGCATTGGACCCCTTTTGACATCTGGCTAGTTCAGCTTCATTTGCCTGAGATCTAATCTGCCATGCAGCCCAACTTCCCCCCGCCCTTTTTCTCCCCATGAGCGGCTCCCAGAGTCTCCAGACAGAGCTGGATTGCCTGAGTGAAATCTGTAGCAGAATGTCCCAATGCTTSCAATAAATAATTTTTTTTTGCAGAAGTGGTTCTTTTCCAGGATACTGTTTCCCTCACCACATCTGTTTTGCTCGGGGAAATGTGCATCTGCCCTGTCCTGCCCACTGCAGCGTTAACACTGGGCTTCCTCCCAGCATGGCTGAGCCAATAATGAGCTGCTTTTAGGTTTGAAATAATGGGTTCCTCTGAAAATTACAAACTGGATAAGATGCTTTGTCTTTCATCTGCAATTTAGTTTCTATGCCTTTTGAAAATGCCACTTGTTTTACTTGACCCTATTCAAGGTTTGCATGCAGTCTGGACCCCATAAATACAGTGGGGTTTATTATGAACCTATGAAACTATGAACACCAACTTTCTTCTTTTCCAGATGAGCTGGGAAGCGAAAATGTGAAAAGGTAAATTTTATGAATATCACTCTTTAAAAAAAAAATTCTTTTGCTCTAACTTTTGTCTCCTTCAGTGCCTCTTTTAATTTATCTGTACATTAAAACACCATTGCCTTTTGCCATCGATTGAACCACCTATCTCAACAGGTGGCTAAAGTGTGCCTTCAGTACATGGCTAAAAGTGTAAGACTAGAGCAGGAGAACAGGAGTTAGTGGTGACTGAGGCRAGCACTGCCCCACAGGCACCCACTGCCCCATTGCCCACTGCCCCTGCTGTGCCTGCTCCCGGCTCCTCCAGCTCCATTAGCCAAAAGATGTACAAGGTGCCCCATGAGCAAAGGGGATCAGTTCCCAGGCTCATCACAGGGTTTTACTATTCAGAATAAGCTCTGTGTCTTGCTCCCCTGTTTTTCAAGTTTGTCTTCTTACTCAGAGATGAGGCAGAAAGGCTTGCCTGGCTGCCACAGGAGCAATACCCCAGCTGCTTGGGAAACAAGACAGAAGCTGTGTGGCTTTTACCAGAGTGATAATTTTTATTCCCTTTTATTAACCTCTATCTTGCTAATCGATATTAAAAGTTCACAAATTGGCTCCAGGAGGAAAAAAAGKTTTTTTTTTCTCTGAAAATAGTGGTTTTTTATCATATGACTGCAGGAATGATATGCAAAAGGAAGCTAAGCAGAGGCATTTAAATAAATGGAGCAACTCCTCTCACGACCTTTCCTTGTGAAGTCACTGCAAATGTGAGTCACAGCTATGATGAAACTTTAGGCCTTCAGCTTTTAACACTGGGGCAATGGGACTTCTGTCATGTGTTCCAGGAAGCTAGGGACAAACTATTTTTTTTTTTTTTTTTAGTTTTCTATTTAGAGCAGGGACAGTTTTCAAGAAGCTGCAGTGATCCTGTGCTCTGGCACGCCCCTGGCTGCACTCTCTGAGTCCTTCTGCATGTTCTGTCTCAGGCAGCCCTACCTCTGCCCAGGACTGGCATCTCAGCGCCGCTCCCTCCCATCTGTTTATGGCCATTTGGTTCGCACCCATTGGGCTGACCTCTTCTCAGATTACCAGGCTAAAATGGATTTCCAGAGTTAATACATGTCTGTGGAATTAAAAGAGAGTCACACAAAATGACTACGTTGTATGTTGTTTGAATTAAGCATTTTGTGTAATGCTTTTTCTCCCCCTCTCTTCTTTCAAGTCCTATTTTTGAAGAAGACACRCCCTCTGTTATGGAGATAGAAATGGAAGAGCTTGATAAATGGATGAACAGCATGAACAAAAATGGTATACGGTAACCCCACTACTCCATCCTCCCTCTCTTGCCTGCATAGAAAATCAGTGGAAGGCGTTTTGTATGCGTGTCGCTGCTTTTCCTACAACATTTTCAGTTGTGCTCTTGACTCCCTCCTACTAAAATAGCAGAACAAATGTCAGGGGTGGGATTTTTCAGAGGAGTATTTTAGTTTGTGTGGGAGTTTATTTTTAATATGTGATGGAAGCTCATAAATGTTTTCAGTTTGCAGTAGATATTTCTATTAAACACACTTATGGCTGTGAATGTTATTTATATTTTTAAATACACATTTTTAATGCTAAATACTAGCTTCTCTAAAGCATCTAGTCTTTTCAGTCTCCAGAATTTCTACAGTTTTGTGCTCCACATTGAGGTACTCTGGAAGAAAYATGCATTTGCCCATAGTTCAGACCACCATTTATTTAAAATTGCAGCCAGGAACCTATTAATATGTCCTTCCCCTCCCTTGCAAGACTGTCAGCCCATGGAGCAATCAGAACATGCAGTAATTACCAGCAGCAGCATCTTAACTCCTTTCTCAGTTTACTTCTAAGTATCTTGCATTTTTCGCCCCATTTTCCTCACAGGTGAATTCCCCAGTCAAAATCTCTAAGGGGTTTGCATTGTCCATCAGGCTCTCCTCAAAAATTGCAGGTCCTTGGAAAGCCATGAGTTAACCAAAGCCTGATTTTGAACCATAAACAGCTTTTCACTGGCTAGGAAATGCTGAAACACTGATATTTTTTTCATTGCTGGTCCCTTGCCTTCTATCCAAATGGCTCATTTGCCTGACCTACTAGGCATGCTTTGTTTTTCAGGACATAAAGCCCTTTGGAGCATTTCTTTGCATTAGCACAGCRCTCCACATGATGGGGCTTTGACCTTTGCGGTCTGGGAGCTCTGGTAGGAAATGTGCTAAGTGCAGTAGGGAAAGAGAGGCATTAAGTGTACTACATGGGAAAATAGTGGTGTTAAATATATTTTAAAATTTTGTGGAGAGAAGGGAGCAAATATTTTACATACTTGTGTGTGTATGTGTGTGTGTGTGTGTGTGTTAGTGTTCCTTAAACTCCAGCCCCAAATTCCCAGCTGGATTATAAAGCATAGGTGCAAATATCAGCAGTGGAAGATTAGCAAATAACCCTTCACATGGCAGTTTGTAGGAGACAGTCCTCAAAAGTGGCTCATTTGTATAGGTGTACATAAACAGCTGGAATATATATAATAAATAAATTGTGGCAACACTAATCAAAGGGAAGGAGGTGTAAGATTTATGCTGTGGGGACTGTGCAGATAAAAGGGTGCAGAAGTGCATCTGCAGATCTATATTCTAGAGTGACTGCATGATAAAAGTTGATGCATTTTTGAAASAAATGTAGAAGAACTGCCAAGAGTAACCATAGTCTTGTTTCTTACCCTGTTCCAGGCGACTGTGAATGTTTGCCTACTGTAAGAGAAGAAGAAAAAGAATCAATTGCCAATCCAAGGTACTTTAATTCATTATATTATCTGAGGAAATATGATCAATATAATTCTAAAATAATTTATTTTTTGTATGCAATTATACAATTATTCTTTGGTCTATTTAAGTTTTAAAAATTTATAGATAGGGCCTTTGACTTCAATTTAAACAAAAGGCTTGACATTCTTATTTCTAAACAGGTCTCTTCCTGTAAACTGCACTGCTAAATAATCTTGCAGTTGTAAAGTGGTGCAAGACAGACAACCAGATGGCACAGATGGAGTTTCACTCACTGATCAGACTTTAATCACAGTTTCCCAAGGTGTTAATACAAGCATTCAGCATAGCTTCCTTGGCACTCCTCACGACAGGCACCCAGTTCCCCTCTGCCACCTGGTGCCCATAGGTTTTTGGGAACCACTGCCAGATGTTTYGGCTGGAGCTGTGACCTGACAGAGAGGGACTTGTCCGACTCCAAGAAAAAAACCAAGAATGAGAAACACGAAGGATCTTCCCAGTGCCCCTTGCAGCACTCCCCCAGAGCTGGCACTAGCTGATAGTCCAAGCAGAGATCCCAGTGGGATGCAAAACCACAATCCTGACAGCTTGTAAACTTAAAATCTTTCTGGTTGGTTTCCTCAGGATTTTGGCCAGAACTCYTAAACCCCTCACAATTTCCCCTAATTAAAAATTCTGGTTCCAGCTGGAAACAAGAGGCTGTACATTGCCCTTGCCTGCACCCTTGTGTTGCAGCTGCATTCTGAGGAGTGGGCAAAGCAGCTCCTCTGTGCCAGGGTATGATAACAAGCCATCCTGCCAAGAAAATCCCCAGTGCAGTGGAAGCAGTGAAGCAATCGGGCAAAGCCAGGAGCAGGGAGAGGACCTAGGTCTCCTGCTTCGCATGGCACCAGATAATTCASYTGAACATGCCTCCCTGGMAGAAYTGCATCTCCCACTGTAGACTGTTAYAATATTCAMACCTCATTTCTGAGTTTCCTCACTCAGGAGTGAAATAGGGATGTTAAATCACCACTGCTGCAGAGTTTGCTACTCAGTTGCTCCAAAGCTTCARGTTGAGGGGAACTTTTGTCTGGGGCTTGTCCACTACAGCCATTTGTATTTAAAAGGTTTCTTTTTACATCTGCTGCAAGTGAAATTGTTGTTGTTGTTTCAGCTTAGTGTTGTTTGGAAAAAAAAGAAAAAAAGCTTAGATTCTAGGTTCCAGATGCAAGCAAGCACATTAATTTTACCCTTAGCAACTGGAAAAGATCCTGGATTTGTTAGCCATCTGGGTTTCCCTTCCTGCTGCGAAATGATAACTCAGAGTGGGGAAAATTGTTAAGGAGAGGCAGCTGCACAGCGGTTCTCTGAAAGCAGATTTGCTGAGCGTACCACTGACTGTAGCAGGGAGCACAGGACAAAGGGTGCTTGAGCTTTAGGCTAACACCAGCACGAGTCAAGCTGTAAAAGGCTTTTAGGCACAACGCCACCCTTAGCATTGTTTACTTTCCAAACCTTTAACAACTGATTTTAAGGAAAAAAAGATCATCGTGACCTACCAGCTTGAGCTGACATTTTAAATGCCATCCTTGCTAATGGAGTGTTTTTATAGTGGATTTGCATTAACCCCATCAGAAGAGAGGGGTTTTGCTCCTGGCTATCAAAAGGCATCTTTGGGCTACACCCTACCTCAAGCTCCTTCCTTGTAAAACAGTTATTTGGGAACACTATGGTGAGGCTTAAGCCTTGATACAAAAAAGCAACCCTGTAAAGTATGCTTCAGTCAGAACAAAGGCACACACATTATTTAAACAAATTTTTTTGTTAATGGTATCTTAGAATCAGATTGTAGAGAAATTTATGCCTGGAAGTTGTAGAATGGCAAACAAATGCAAATAAAAATAGGAGATTTATCTCAAAAATATTTGGAGCTGCTCAGACAAAGGATGTTAGATGAATACAAAGTCCATGAACATTAGATTTAATTTCAGAATCTGAAAGACTTATTTAAAACTTCTTCTCAAATTCGGGTAATTTTTTTTTTAGATTTTATTGATATTTCAGTTTGGGAAACACTTCAAGGCTACACTGAACAGACATAGTGTTTTCTTGCTTYGTGAAGATGCTGGAGGGAAGTTCATCAAAACTCAAATGATTTGAATTATGAATGATTTTGATACAATTTTGAAAATATATGAGACAACATTTCAATAAYRACACTTYGRCATTCTCAGAATGAAAGTTGTTCCAAAACTACTTTTCAAAGGAAGTAAATTTGTTATATAAAAATTTTAAAAAATTTAAAGTACAGAATTGCATGGTGGYAAAAYATTTTTAAGTTGAGTGTTTCCCTTMYCTCARRACTCCTTCTTCAAATTTCATTTCACATGAAATTTTGAAACACACTTAATTTCAATGTGGAATGTTATTTGAAGTGGTGGGATTTCTGGGTTAACAAACAAAAAAGTTGCTTTCTGTTTATTTGTCCAGTTGAACCTTATGACCCCAAGATCTGCTGTTTTTCCCAACCAAATTCTTAGATGAATAAATTATGTCAGAAAGAGAATTACATACACATAAATAGACAATTTCTGCAGCTCTTTTGAGCAAGGAAAGTTAAAGACTAAGAAATAAAATTAAATAAAGCTATTATTATGGCAAAATTTGTACTCATGAGCATCATGGCTGCATGTTTGTGCACAGGAGGCAAAATATGACAGCCCGGGCACCCTGGTAAGTGGAGGTCATCTACCTTGGCCTTATAAGCTAAGTTACAAATAYAYGTATTTATAMATTTTCAACATTTATATACACTTTTCAAAATATATATTTGAAAGAAAAACTCTTGCCTTTGGAATCTAGTGCTAGAATCCTTATTGTGCCTGAGCACAGAACTGCAAAACCTCTCCAGCTGCCCTGGGCCAGGGCTCCCATCCCATGCATGCAGGAGGGTGCAGGCAGGAGGCACAGGGGCAGCAGGCAAGGGCTCTGTGGTACACAAGGGGTACAAGTCAAATCTTTCTTCCAGGGATCTTTAATGTCTCAGTGAAGTAAGTGCACCTTGTCCCCTTCACAGCATGGGTCATTGCAGGGTGTGGAGGACAAGCAATCCCCCAGTGCTTTATCACCGGAGAGATTTGGTTTGCCTTGGGTGCTGCTGGGCACCCTCCCAGTCTCTCTGTCTGAAAAAGGATGACTCCTTCTCTCCATCTTCTTATGGAAAAACGTTTTGGGTGAGTGGTACGTTGGTACACGAAGAAGTACTGCATTCCCAGGATGTGCCCCAATTTGCCAAGAGACTTCAGAAAACATGTAAAACATTATGAGTGGCCCATTTAGCTTCAGAGGTGGTTTAAAACCCTGCCTTTATCCCTGCTGACTGAATACAGATCAGCCAATATAAGATGTCACAYTTTTAATGTTGGCATGAGCCAAACATAATTAAGAAAGTACTAGGGAGCAAGCCACTTGGGCAGGAACCAGTGGGACAAAGAGAAAATGCACCTGTTGTGAGGTCAGATGTAAACCAAAAATTCCATCTGTAGAAAGTTATGCTCAGCTGTGGAAAGAGGGCCGGGAGCAGGAGAAAGGCTGTGCTGGGCAGCCAGGAACCATCAGACAGGAATCAAAGCAGCCCTCACTGCCAGCATCTGGCACTGCAGAAGAGAGGGGTTCAAACATCGCATGAGTGACAGATTTATCTTCTGGTAACACCTTCTCATGACCTCCAGAGATATTCTTGCATGKTATTTCGTGCTGAGACAACTAACCCAACAGTGTGACGTTGGTGTTTTTTACTTTTCCATGTGTACACAGTGATGGTGAATCATGAAGTCCTCAGAACAGCAAAGAACTGGCTAAAGGGAAGCAGCACACAAACTCATCATTCCCCAATACTGGAAGAACTGGATTTAAATATAGTCAATCTCAAAAATCCAGAGAACCAAATGCTTTTGCTGTATTCTGCTTTATATGGTCTTCAGAAAGGAAACATCACCAAGGGAAAAGAAGAAGAGAAAAAGAAAAAATAAAGAAAAAGAAAAGGAAAAGAAAAAGTGAAAAGCACTGCAGCATGATTACAGACTGTTTTAAAGTCTTTTCGCAATGAGATTCACCACAAATCATGAGAAACCTCTTTTTTATCCCTGCTACAAGTTCTCAAAGYAGTCCATGTTTCTGTATAGTTCTGMAGTTGTGTATTGTGCAGCACTTAAAACCACTTCTATTCCAGGTTTGGYGGGTTTCTTTGCTTTGGTTTGGTTTTRTGGTGTTTGTTTCAGTGTCCATAATTCTGGACTGCCYTGGWGGATGTGAAGCTCATGCCTATGCATTGTTTATTTCTCAATTTGCTTTTTCCGAAGGGTGCACTGATTTGCACAGGGCTGCTGCAGGGGAGGTGCTGGGCTGGGACTGACAGACCAGCTCTGAGGACACACAGCAGCTGAAAAGACTCTCAAAGGAATAGCCAGAAGCGACTGCAACCCAGCAAGGGCATGGATTCTGTAGAGTGCTTTATGGTTTTCAGATTAAAGGCACTGTAGAAGTGAAAAGTATTATTTTGAGACTGCCTTTGTTATCTCCACAGAAGAGCGCCCTGGGCTAGCTCTCCCCATGTAACTCTGCTCCCTGCCCAGGGCTGTTCTCTAAACACCTACTTCAGGAATATTCAACTTGAAAACATTTCTTTTTTTTTAGAAAAATGAGTGAGGTTGAAAAATTCAACAATTSAGTACTCACACCAAATACAGGTTTAGATAAGTATGTGTTATGCATAACTACTTGGTCAAGTTATTTAGATGCAGGAGGTTTTCTGCTGCCTCTGTTTTTAAATACTGAGCCTGCAACATCTGAAAGACGTGGACTTCTACATGTGCTTGGTCACCTTCAGATATACTGAAAAAAATCCTGGGATACCTGAAGGTGGAAATAKGAATGTTGTAACTGCATCCATTGATTTTAAACAGCATGTCTCTTAGGGATTTAGCTTAAGTATGTAACACACATAAAAATGGATCCCTCACCATRTTTAAAATAGCAAATTCACATCCTACCATATCTTATATCCTACCCTGTAATATCCTACCTATCCTCATCTTCTATTTAAATATGTAATGCCTTTCCACTCACTGCATGTTTAATATGATCAGTTTTGTTTTGCCTGCAAATAATTCACTAATAAGTTAGCATAGCTTGATTAAAGAGAGAAAACAAATGTCCCAAACCTCTGTGATGGCATCTAAGTGTCACTCACAGCTGACAAATACAGAGGATGGTTCAGCTTTGTGAATAATTAAAGACATGTCAAAAGAGAAGGAAAAAAATATTTAGAACTAACCATATTCATTCATTACTGAATATTACTTGATTAGTAATTTCCTCAAAGAACAAAAGATTTCTTCATTGTTCCAAAACAATTTATTGCAAATGTTGGATTTAGTAGATGAGTGATAGTAAACAAATTTTCCCTGCTTGGATGATTTTTACCTTTGAAAAAAGTGTTTCAAGTTCATTTTTCACAACTTTTTTTTTTTAATATTTCCACTATTTCCTGACAGTAAACCCATTCTGTAGAATATCAGTTTAAAATAATGCAATCACAAGGGGAAGAAAAAGTGAAAGACTGACATTTAGAAAATTTTTAAAAATGGAAGTAGATATTTTCCAGTAGCAGCTTTATTAGCAATTTCTTTCCAACAGAYCAAGATGTTTTGCTCAGATTTCCTACAACTTATAAAGCAGTAAACTAAAGATGCCCAAACCAGAGAGACTGTTTTTTTTAATGGTACAAGATAAAATGATGCATTGTGTGGTTGGAGGGCAGTCRGTGGGACCCAGCAGTTTACAACACCACCAGTGTCCAGTGGTGACTCTCACCACACCTTCCTCCAGCCCACACAGCTTTGTGTCCAACAGCCACTGCCTTCTCCCTGAAGAGAGCTCAAGCACAGCTGGACACGAAGAATAGGAGGAATAGGAGAATAGGAGTCCTTGCCTTTCCTTTTCTTTTTTTTTTCTTTCTTTTTTTTTTTTCTTTTTTTTTTTTTTCCTTTTGAAAATTAAGCAAATCCCAAAGGCAACATTGTATGGCACAACTCAGTTCTGGCACAATGGTGATCCATTGCCCCACATTGATATCAGTGCAATGCACTAACTCAGTTTGCTGTGCATGTGATGGTTTGAGATTAAAATTAATTCTAGATGGTCCTGCTGCCAGATAAAAAGCTGTACAGCTCCAAGTAAGTTTCCCAGAGATTTATTTTCACTTATATGTTTTATTTTTCARGTTTACTTTGAGTGAATGTATTTTCTGTAAACTATGTCATTAAGCACTAATTCTTTTTCCAGKGTTGATGATTAATCAATCTCTATATAAAGCTTTGAAATCAATTTTGTCCAGAACTAATGTCTGGTTAGAGCTTTATAATTATTCATGGTATGTCACTTACCCTCTCTAAAGTGTGGCATACCTCTTCAGGAACTTTCTAGGCATTAATGCTTTTGRCATTTCCTTGGCCAATTCTGATAGAAATTTTCTCTATCTATTGATTTTTAAAAGTACAAACTTAATATGTGCTGAGTTACTATTGAAAAACATACCATTCCATCAAATCTCACCTGTCATCAGGTGCCGTCCTCCCTGTGTGAAGCAGACCAAGGGTCAAGGAATTTTCATTTCAGCATAGTTATGGRTATTTCTAATAGAATCCCTCAGTGCTAGACAAATACAATTTTYAGTACTTCTCTTTTCCCTCAACATTTTTACATAATTTTTATTCTTCCCCTAGCCCTAGAGTATGAAGGGGATCACTCATTCACCTGACTCCTCAGCCCAGCTTTGCACTGCTCCATTTCACCCCACTGGTCTCTCTTTGGCCATGATTTTCACTCTGAGGTCTGCGTTTGCCACGGCCACTGCCCAGCACCCACCCACTCGCTTACAGCCAAGCCTTTCTGTGAGCACTGATTCAGGGGTGCAGCATCACCATGGGCACTGCTTTGGCCCCTCTCCTCCTCATCCCATTAGGTGTTGCCCCTTGCTCTGCTGTTTGTTTTACACTTGTCATCAGTTCCTGGTCATTTCCTTTTGCACAGTTTTGCCTCAGTATTTTAATCTTGTAGGTGGATTGAATTACTGGGGTTTTAGACCATTTCACACATACATTAACACAGGCAAAATATCATAATATTCCAGTTCATGAGTATTAACTTTACACCTTCTGCTGATGCACCTTCCCTTTCCCTAAATGATTCGTACAGCCAGGTCCTCTAACCTGCAAAATAAAAAGGAGAGCAACCAGACAGCAGACAAGATAGCAGCAGACTCTGGAAATTATTTTATCACATGCACTAYACAGTATTTAAACCTCTGTTGTAACATCCTCATTGGCAGCCTGATCTGAGCCAACTCATCTCATCATCATCTTGCAACATCCACCAGTAACTGATAATTCAAGTCATCATCATTCAGTTGAAAATGAGAAAAAGCATGCAAACACAAAGTCTCCTCCACTACGTATTGTTCTAAAATGTTTATCAAATGTGATGATCCCTAAGGAACTGTTACCTCTTCTTCCATTTTCTCCAATAATTTCAGTAGTTATCCAGCACTTCAAGACAATTTGACATCTAATTTACAGTGTGAGGCCTTTTGGTCTTGCAGAAAAGCTACAGATCCAAAGAAGAATTTGTCTGAGAAATACACAGTTAATAAGAAGGGAATTAAGAACCAACATCTCTCCTACATATGCTAAAACTCAGTATCTTAACAAAATAGAAGTAACTCCTRCATAAAGTTACAAAAATAAGGTTGCTGAAATTGCCAGCACCTAATGAATTCCATAAGTGTCCTGCACTTAYAAAGCACATAATCCTCAGAAAAAGGAATTCTTTTAATTTCTTGGTATTCACAAATGATAGATTCATAGATACTCTTGCTGTGAGATTAAAAAAATAACTTTTTTTTTTTTTTGTAAAGCTAAACTTATTGAGAGGCTATAAAAGCAACTTATGTTAACTTTCTGATATGAGGTTGCTGTATATTTAACTGTTTTATCAAATAGCTGTTCTGAATGATTTTGTAATGTAAATATTTGAAAGTCACAGTATTACTTAATTGTATATAAGAATTTGAGTTTTTAAACAACTTGTTCTAATAAAGTTTTTAGTGTTTACAGGTTCTGTTTTTCCCATGGTCCTGCAAATCCACTCAAGTTAATGGAGGCTAATTACTTGTTATTGATACCTCAATGACTCGGGCCTTAGAAGATGTACACACCTTGTATGGTACATTGATATCTTAGTCTCACCAGCTCTCTAAAATTCAGGCAAAAAAGCCTAAAAGCTGCTTTATATTTCATTATATTTTTGTTGGGGTATTTCAGATTGTTTGTATCAATAAACCAATCTGACTCCRAGGAAACTAGTGAATTACTCCCATGATTTGCCCTTGGGTGACTGTTGCCATCTTTCTGTAACGATCAATCATTTCTCAGGTTATTTCAGTTAAAACACTAAAATGGGAGCCTCCAAGTTGAGAGACCTGCTAAAATTTTCAGTGGATTGAAGGGAAAAGGAAGGAAAAAAAAAAAAGAAAAAGAGACATTTATTTCCAGGTAGAGATTTAGAAAAGATTAACAAAGTAAAGCATTACGTTTATCTATTTTTTGCAACAGACAATTTCATTAGAGAGGAGTATAATGGCCTGGGGATATCCAGAAAGCTCGAGACTGTTAATTCTATTTAATGCTTTGAAAGTTCAAACAACATCAGTACAAGAGCATCATAGCARCGACCAGGCAGAAACTAGTTACCTCTTTCTCTCTTTCCTGACCATTCCATCAGCCAGACACTTGTCTAAGATACAGACTTAGAAATCTGCGTTTTGGGGCAATGCTTGTCTGGTTCTCAAGGGAAGTGCAGAAGAGGGCTTGACTCCATAGTCCCAGAAAGTGTTGTGACATCTCGGGGAGTACCACAGAGTAACTCCCCTGTCTCCAGGCACTMACTCTTGCCCCACTCTGCCCCTGCGAGTACCATC